CCGAGCTGGCTGGGCCTGATCCCCTGGTTTCACTCCATGCAAAGCAGGGTGGAACCAGTGAGCATTTCTAAGAGATTCTCAGAAGTACTACAAGAAACTGCCATAGTAAACTAAACCAAAAAACTGGGTTATCCTGTCCTACAAGATACATAATTTCTTCAAGAAATGCAGTTACTTGCTGAGGAAGAAACTGTTCCACTGAATTCTATCCTGCATTTGCAGAAAGCACTCATAGCAATGTTCAAGACCCATACCACTACTGCTCTCTGAATTAGAATTTTAAAATAATATCCATATATACCAAATCAGCATCCAGCCAAAGCCATGGAAAGCATAATGCTGACTTGAATGAAGAAGAGACTAAACTCATAGCTGCACATAAATGCTACAGAAAATACTAGAATTGGAGATGTCTAGAAAATTATGACAGGAAAAAAATATTTCTATCAATAACTGTATTGTAAACCTACCAAAAAAGCAGGAGTATAAATGTCATTAACATTTGCTGTTAATATCACTCTCTGTAAGTTTATGTATACCAATGGCTTTTAGACAATGCTGACCAGATGTGACTTAATCTAGAACTGCTTTTTGAATGTGTAGTGTTTCCTTCAATCAGTTTCCTACAACATTTTAGGTACTAAAATGAACAGGAACAACCATGATTTTATATGTAAAAGTAAAGAGAGACTCTAATACCCTGTAAAAATTTGTTAGTCACAGACATCTCTGTAATTTCAAGTTTGAATTATCCTTTGATTCATGCTGCATCAATTCACATGATTCAAGGATAAAAATCTGCCCTCTTTGGCAGAATATTGCATGGTTAGGTGTATCCCAAGGATTTTAGATTTGTCCTGAAACATTTATTATTTCATATGCCTGGAAACAAAACAAGATAAGACAGCTGATCATATCTGCAAATCAAGAAACACGGCACAGATAACAAATTCAGTTTCCCAGTAACATCAAACTCACTGAAAATTTAATGACCATGACATGGCACTAAAAACAATGTTTATGTAGTAAACGTTATAAATAAACATGAACAGGTAAGTACGTAAATTTAAGTTGAATATACAAGGATTATAACCATCTAAACAAGGAAGACCAAATTGCAGCATCTCAAATTTTATTAACAATAACCTTTAACAGAAAAAAATTGATGTCTAGAATCAGGGATCAGGTGACAATATGGACTATAAACAGCACAACAATAAAACTAGCATACTGGTGGCACAATCTAGTGGAAATAAAATTTCTTACTCAAAAATAGTTACTTTGCTGCCTACTATACTGTAGTATAATATAGTACATAATATAGTATATATTATATATATAATATAGTGTGTATATATATAGTATATAATATAGTATATATTTCACTGCTTGAAATTGTCTACTGTAATTCAGGATAAAGTGCTATTTGTAGTCACAATTTTGTAGAACACTGCATCATGAAATTATGCTGGAAAAACATCTAAATATAATTAATAATGAACATAACTCACGACTCATGCTTTTGCTTTCACATTGCAATGAACAAAGAGAATTACTCAGCGAAATACAGACATACTGTAACCCCAAATGTCAATATTAACTACATGTATTCCTCACTAGAAAAAGGACTTCATTAGAAACTATGATACAGCGAAGAAAAATTTACAACTAAAGAAAAACTAGTAATATAGACTGAATTCAACATCATTTCTAAAGGCAAATCCAAAGAACTGTCGAAGTGGATGAAGGTTTAAAGACATGGCATAACAGTGATATATTTCCATTACTAACTAAGTATACTACTACATTAAATAGTAATGGGGAAATGCATCTGTATCCCAGGACAAAAATGCATTGAACAGACACATTAAAATGCGTTAATTACAGCTTCTTTAAGTCATTTGTTTTGCCTCTGCTCATAGAAACTAGTCTTTCCATACTGATTTTAAAAGTTACATAGCTTTAAGTCTGTTCCATAATTTTCAGCACCTATTGTCATTCTTTCCACAGAACTCAGAAGGAAAAATTCAACCCAGCTGCTAGAATGACTTAATGAAAAAAGCACTGCTGGAGCCAGAGCCATCTCCTGCAGAACAGACCATAATTTCAAAGCTAACGTTCAAACCTAAAGGCTTTATACAACAGTGAGACCAGATAGGGAAGGCAAATATATATCTGGATAAAATATGACACAGATAGAAGAATGCCTCCAGTGACACAGAAATTGGCAATTTTACATAGAAGGCTGGGGTCAGGGGGAAATCTGCTTTAATGCTCATGTGGCTCTATGAAAAAAGCAGTCTAGAAGCAAAAGTTTAGGCAATAGCAGTAACAGTCCAGTTTTCCGACTTGAAAAAGAAAGAAATAAGACTTTCAAAAGGAAGATGGAAAACCAAAACACAATCTCTTTTAATAAGTTCTGTACGTACACATTTTTCTCTTTTTCTCTTTAATGAATATATATTAGAGAAGCACCAAAAGGTGCCACAATGTACAGGTGCCACCAGAACTTGACAAAGACAACTTCTCATTTAGACCTACTAATTAATGCTAATGCTCTCCTGCTAAAATTACAGCAAAAATGCCACCACAGAAAAATACACTTTAAACTTAGGTTTTAATTCAGCCAAGCAGAGTAGCCTGTCAAAACATTTCTGAAAGGGAGATCAAAACATCATCTCCGGGGTTATGTGGAGACCAACTATAAAAATGGGTTTTTGGAAGGAAAACCAAATCTGGCTTCTATTGCATCACTGCCCTCTGTATTTTCTTCCACATTTCCCCGAATCCATTTCTATTGTTTTCCTCTCTTTGTATTTTAACTTCCCAACCCTCAACTCTACAACATTTCAGAGGACAAGCAATCCCATGTGTCATGCACTAGCTTAGGACTCAAGACAATTCCCCAGTTTAAGACAATGTTCTACAGAGAGCCAAATGTCAGTCTCCCTGTGCTCTCAATCCTCACTTACAGCTTCTAGAGATTTTCTGAGAGTAGATAATGCAGTATCTTTCCCATGAACAGCTTAATGTAGCGCTGTTGGGATGTCTCAGGAACAAACTAAATAGTTTGAAACGTTTGTAGTGCCAAGTGCACTTTTGAACTACTTATCCCAGACACAAGCAAGCATTTCCTCCATAAATATGCCAAAAGTTAAAAAATGAACACAGGACTTAAGGTTTGTCCCACATTCCATAGTTTTTTTTCTTCATACTTTCACTTCAGGAAGGCCTGAGCTTTTTGTATATCTGGGGTGAAAGGAAAATTTTTTTGCCTTTGAGAACTACAAAGAAAATAGGAGTTTTATCTTATTTTCAGAAAAAAGCAGTAAGGTATATATTTTTCTAATGGAGAGAATGTGTATTTTACCTTAACATTCGATTTCTTAGAGAAATTAACAACCACTCCCCATCCAAAGTCATCACCTTCGTTCTTCACCTGAAAATATTACAAGATGTTATAACATAACCCGTGTATAATCACACCCTACAAGAGTATCTTTTTGTATTTCTGATATTTACAACAGCAATCATGGACAATTATTCATCATGCAAACAGTATTTCTTTTAATTCACTGTTGCACGTTTAACAAAGAAACACAACGAAAGTCAAAACTGTTGCTTAGTGCAATGCATGTAATTTTTCAAGATGGTAAACTGGCAGACACAAATGATCCCTGCAAATTTCACAGACAGGTAGAGACTGGAAATAAAAACAAAACAAAAGAAAAATCAAATTACCTTTACCAGTCTTCCTGGCTGTAGAAAGGGCAAGCAATACTTTGGTTTGTGAACATATTCTTCAATCTCTTTACCCAGTTTTGCAAGCTGCTGTCGGATTTTGTAGTATATGACCACATTTTCTTCATTGGGAATCGCTATTTTGTTGTACTGTCCTTCCAAATTATTCACTCCTATAATAAAAAGTAAAATCTCATGGAAATTAGTAACTTCACAGATTTAGAAATCAATGTTTTGCTTTCAGATCTACATAACTAGTACTTTGTCACCATTTTTGGCATTCATTTTCTATTTACAATAATCCATTCTCTGGAAAGCTAGAAATCTATAAATCTGTCCATTAAATTTTATTTATAGGAAATTAAATATTAATACTTTTTTTTTTAAATAAACAAGCTTGAGAAAACAAAGAAGGCTAGACCCCCAATTGTCCAGGAATCACTGATTTAGGGTTGCACAGAAGTCCCACAAAAACTTGCAATGATTTGTAGGAGGGTATTCACCAGCGCTCTTCTACCTCCTCCTATGAAAAGATTTCTCAAAGATATCTTCTAACAAGATGTCTTCCAACAAGAGGAAAGTTATTAGAAGATGTTCTTCCTCATCTGTTTTAGGCTCCCATTTCATCAGTTGGAAATCAGTATTTTCTTCCTCCAACATTTTTACACCTTATTAGGCAAATCAGTTTTTATTATAAGCAACGTGCTTCATTCTCTCACACTGCTAATACCACTAGTAAACACAAAAAAGGATACATTATAAAGATATATTTTTCCTCTTTACCAACTCACCCTCTTGCATGCTATTTGAATGCACATGGGTGAGTCAGAAATGCCACTTCACTGGGACATGAGAAACAGCTCAGGGAAGAGCTCCCTATTTTTAGGTGCCAACTTTTTAAAGAAAAAGGCTAGCAATCCATACTCATGGTATGATTTCCTCCTTGATCTAAACAACCATTTCTCTCCTTTGTGTTTTTAATTGCAACTGAAGCGATTACAAAATTCTAATGCCCAATATGGTGCCTAAACAAAAAATGTCCAAGAAACATGAAAAGGGTTCTCCAGCTCCATTTCTCTATTTAAATAGCAATGCTGGAATGCTAGAATGAAGATCTAGGCATGCCAATTGGAACAGGGAGGTTCTTAGGAAATATATTTGACTAGTACTGCCTTAAATACTGCATCTGCAAACTAACAGAAACTCTGCAAAGGGAATCGACCCCGCTCCCTCTGCTCCTCTATCAAAGCTACACGCACACACACACTGTCTCTCTTAATACTCAATTAACAAATGAATACTCAATTAACAATGTTCATTCATCAGTGGCAAAGGAAGTAGTTACCTCTCATGTTCTTCATATTCTTCTGGGTTAAGTTTTGAAAGAGGCCTCACTCTCAAACACTGGCTGAGATTTTTGGAAACTGACTTTGGCTCACAATAACATACTATTTAAAGATCATGGCTTAAAACTTAAGTTACTCAGTGGAGTGCAAATAATGTCTCAGTCCTCTCTGAATTTTGCTTTGTATTTTAATTAAACATTTTTTCCTATACTACTCTGAATGCAGCGTGCCTGAGTTCTTCTAGAAATTGTAATGAGATATTAAAATTATGTTTCTTTTAGCTAAGTTCTGCATATCAAAAAGGAGTAAGACTTTTCTTCTCTGCGCCTCTAACAAGCCGCAAGAATTTTTAAACTGTTTTTCCTTCGTCTGTCCTACAGTTTAGCAATGTGGCAACCGTTCTTGTCTGACTTGAAGAGGAAAGCTCTCTTCATAGATTGACAGCACCTATCAATATGGGACCTAAGAACAAGAGGAAATTACTCTTCTTGAAACTATAACGTAACAGCAAATGGTGTGGTGGCAACTGTTGGCAGGTAGACAAGAACTGCACAGGTATAAAGTCTTTCAAGCATAATGAAGTGTAACTACCCAATCTGAGAGTCCAGCATCTTTTATACTGACTCTCATGAGTACAACAAACAGTAATACTTACTTTCTACTATTTCTGGAATAGTTCTGTAATGTTGGAACTGATAGAAGGATTTTTCTAACATGTATTCAGGGTTGATTTCTTCTACTCGAAGCAAGTTCAATACCATGTTGTACGTCAAGTGGAATGCACTGTTTAAAGGATCAGCTGAACCCTGAAAAAAATCCAAGAACACTGGCAGTTAAAAAAATTAATTGCAACATATACGAACATATCAAATAAATCATGATGCAGTGTTTTATATGAAGAGCTGTTTTGATGGGTAGTACAACTTGTCTTGAATTTAATTACATGTCTTATGAAATCCTAAGCAATTTTATTATGCTGAACATGTAACAGTATTTATATGTCTCATCGTAACTATAGTTATACTACAATATTATAAATTAGATCGGAATGAAATGAAAACTTCAGATGAAAAACTGAGATGGTTTTTACAGTCTATTATTTGGATTCCATTATTTTAACTTTAAAACAATAGTTATTTAACTATTTAAAGCAATCCATTTTTTTAACACTCTGGAAAAACTTATTTGCACACCTTTTTCTCTTAAGACTTACTGATCCCGTTGGTGTCTTGGGAAGTCTGTTCAAAAATAGGTAGTCTATGACTTCTTTAACTTAAGTAATGTCTCATTATAGAATTAATTTACTTTGCAGGTTGCCTGAGAGAGATTGTGGACTCTCCACTTGTGGAGATACACAAAAGCCATCTGGACATGGTCTGGGGCAGCCTGCTCTAGATTACCCTGCTTGACAGGGGGCTTGGACAAGATGACCTCCAGAGGTCCCTTAAAACCTCAGCCATTCTGGGATTCTGTGAAGTTCAATTTTTTCATAGGTGGTATTTACAGGTATTTTGAATGACCTAAGAAGAAAAGATGCTGGGAAAGTATTGTGGGGAAATATCACATCACTACCTTCTGTCCCCATTCTTATTTTCTAAGAACATCTGCTACTGTCCTCTGTCAAAAAAGGGTACTGGATTAGGTAGGTGCACCTTTGGCCTGATTCACCATGGATATTATTATGTTCTTACCCAAGAGGAAAACCTCATTATCGTAAGAAGAGCAAACACCTAACTGATACACATTAAAACAACCAGCTATTCAAAGAACACATAGAATAGTTAAACAGTGTCCAAGGAAGATCTAGAAGGCCTCAACACTACAGCCTCTCCAAGCAAAGGGCAAACTTGAGAAAACTGTCTCAAATCTTAAGTGTCAGCACAGACAGTCATCCTGATAAACCATATAAGAAATCACTGCAACCAGATGAGAGAAACTCAAAACTTCTGAAGTATGAAATTGCCCAAGTGCGGTGCATAACCTTTCATCTAAAGTAGCACTGCTATCAAGGGAACAGGCGCCTGACAGTTCTTCAGAAAGGATCCACGGGAAATCCAGGAGTTATGAAGCAGAAAATTACAATTTCTGTGCAACAAAAGGAGTGGAAACCAGAAGCAACAGATAGCTGGATAGAACACAGCAGAACAGCAGCATGAATAGACTTTTTATAAAACCAAGTTAGATCTTATGAATCTTTCAGAGGTCTTTGAAGATGTTAACAAGTGGATTATCATACCTCCTTGATTCCTGAAAAGCTTATGACAACACATTCCACACTCCCTACCCCCACCAAACTAATGTAATTAAGTCTTTAATGGATTTTAAAAAAACCCAAATTCTTGTGAATCACTAAACAGAAACCCAGTGTATATTTGGTATTTTTTCAAAACAAAATTTCCCAGTGGAGACTCAGAGAGGTCTAGACTTATAAGAAAGCTAGAAAAGGCATAGATAGAAAAAGAGCAAGGTCTGCTGAAAATACTACTAGATCACCGAAGACACCAGCAATCAACAGAGTTGCATGATGAGGAATAAAATGGCAAGTGAAATTTAATCTGAAAGTATATTATAAGAAGATGAAGTGCAACAGTTTGCAATGGTTTAGTGTTTACCGCTCATTAAAGAGTGACCTATACATGAAATAAAAGAGATTTACTAAACAAGTGTCATCATTTCAACAAGGCCTGTGAGCAAATTCAGTTATGATTAAACATTTTAAATTAGTAACAACTAAACAGATAACAAGAAAATGAGGATGTTTCAAGACATATTTTTCATGCAACTACATGACTGCTGAAAGTTCAACATATTCTATCAGACATTTTAGAAGCTCAGAGAGGGCTGACACTGGGAAACACGTTCCTCTGCACTTTCTTTTAAGCTCAAGATTTGCTTTACCTAAAACCAATTATACTGTATCCGCTTGCAACTCATTTCTTTGCCTTTTGCTATACAGTAAGGTATCTAGAGATATTCCCTCATGATACATAACAAAAAAAGCACAGGCTATTAAAAAAACAACTGATGATTAGTTTATATATGCAAATGCTGAAATTCAGATACGGTGCTCTCCTACATCAAGCGAAGTCTAATGGATTTTAAATGACATTACCACAATATACACATTTGTCTTTCAATTTTAAATGCACAGTCAGGAATTCTTATACTACATCCATTGATGCAATGATGTCAGATTTAATAAGAGACAGCTTGAGTCTAAGACTCCTTCACATGTAGCAGATCTAGGAATATTGTAACCCCATTTGCTTTATGTGAGATATAGAGCCTTACGAGATTACCTTACAAACACCAGAATCGTATTCACTGTATGATTATTTCATCTCAGAAAAAAACCCAGCTGTTACAGAGAAGCCTTCAGCATATGTTTATACCAAGAATACATGTAAAACACGTTTAAGATAAATCATATAGCCTAATGTTTTGCTTTTCATGGCCAGAGACTCATTCAGTCTTACATCTGTGAGTAGATCGTAAATACAGACATAGCTTTTCACCTCAAGTAATGCACCACAGAACAGAAATACCTCTTAAATTAGATCATGAAATGGGTATTTAAAATAACGCTGTCAGTTCTGAAATTACCACAAATGGGCTTCTACTAACAGAAATGTGTCAATAAGCACAACATCAACAGTTGAGCTGCAGTGTGCAAAGGAAAGCTCAAGTTTCTACAAATGTCTCTAGTCTAATACCCCAAAGAAAGATGAGAGAACTTCTGTTGCTGATGCTAACCAATGTATAACACAGCTTTCTCCTTAGACCTGATAAAAGGATTATGTACCCAAGCTCTTGTCTGTTTTTCTAAATATATCAGTTATTCTAGGAAAGAGAAATTACCACTCCCTATAAAGCTTGCTTCTCTACAACAGAGAATGCCATTTAAAGAATGGCATTTACTAAAGAACGGCACAGCAATTATGCCAGTGTCAGCTATCGGTGGCTCAGATTCTTTCCTACAGCAACATCCACTGCTGTAGCCAGGCATCAACTAAAGCAGCTGGAATACACCCACCAGCCGGCTACAAGCCACTGGCGTATCTACAGACCAGCAGAGATCTGGCAAAATGCTGCTGTGACTGCTCCGATCGCACTATGAATCCCTCTTTCTGTGCCTGACAATGTTACATAGTTCTAAGGGATAGCTTAGCTGTGTGCTTGCAAGATTATCAACCATTTGAAAGAGTAAAATTGTGTCACACTCTCACTTAAATACTATCATAAAGTGAGAAAAGAAAACAATGAAGTTTATACAACTATAATATATGCACCGAACATGCCAAACAAAAAAGGCTTTTTTAAAATCAGCGCAGTTCAACTGTGAGGAAGGAGTGATTTAAAAACAAACTAAAAAACCCAGCTATTTCAAAGATTATATAAAGCAGACTTATTTAAAAGGCAGCATTTGAGCCAGTTGCTGATGTGGTAATTTTTATTTTAAACACATGATCAGCATTTTAAAATTTGAAAATAAGGTCATTCTATTAAGACAAAGCAGTTAAAATACAAATCCTGTTTTGGCAAAAATGGTGGGTTTTGCTCCTGTTCCTTCATCTCATAAACACATCTTTCTCCATGTTTCAGAAATTCCTGTTTTCTCAGTGTTTTTCTCTAGGCAATACTACATTCGAAATCAAAAGTTCTGAGAAGCTTTTTTCTAAAAACTGGAACTGTTACTTGTCCAAATTAAATATCACTATAGTAGCTTTACTGCGCTACCCCTTCAGCACAGCCAGTGAATTCTGCAGTGTGCATTAGTCGCTACTGACTACTCCGGGCTATCAATAGACTCGCGTCTAACAGAAAGCAATCACCTGGATGCCCTTGCTTCATTTACCTAGTAGCAACATATGAGTTTTGCAGCTGCATTAGGAAACTTTATAGCAAAATACAGTTGTTCTTCTATACTAAGCACACACAAAACATTGAGTAGGCAATCGGCCTTTTCTGGCAAATTGTAAAGATTGGCATGATTATTGAAGAGGCAATTAGTGGCTACCTAAAGATACCTGTCATATAGATATAGTGCATGGAAGGGAAGAACAGGAGGGAGGGAAGATGGGATATATTACTGACAGGTAAATGGAAAAGGTGGGCCTTCCCTTCCTAACTTCCTCTCGAAGAGCCTACACAGTATGAGGTATTCAATTATCCTGGATTTTGCTTGCTGCTAAGATATAGTTTAACTTAGATTTTCTCCATAATGGTTTGCTCCTCTTGCAATCCCTTTCTCTGCTCAAGCCCTGTGCCAGCAGCTCCCATATCGATTGCTTTTCTTTCTTACTTTCTTAAAAATATTGTGAAGCATGTGCATGACATTTAGCTCACTCTCTACCATAAATCTTCCTATCACAATTCATCTTCCTTCTCTTCAACAAGCTAGGGCACGCAATCATCTGCCTCAAGTTCTCTTACTCTGTGAGGAAGCCTCTCCCTTGTCTTCAGAGAAAAAGCTCCATAGAAGATCGGGTAAAAGCCTAACTGATCAGAGCTGCAACAAAAGTTCATGAGAAAGACTGCCTAGAACGGGCATCAGAAAGTCACTTTCAAACACACATTGTGTCCATGACTTTACTGTTGTTGAACTACCATCCCAGTTCTCCAGCCTCCTTTCTGCAAGTAATCCTCCTCCTCACCCCTTCAAAGAGGGACAGTCCCCCCACCCCAAATCTTCAACAGACAGTAGCAACAGATTTATTTCTGAGTATTTTTTAAAAAACAGAATGATTTTGCAAGCTTTTTTATCCCTCTGGATGAGAACTGCCTGGATACATGAGAACAGCCTAGA